TCAACCCTTTCAGTATCTTTTTACAAATTAATAGATCCACTGAGTTCATTGAACATCTTCATGACTTCATATCTGAATTCTTTGTCAGAGAGTTCCCTTGAGTAGCACCTATGGAGGATTCTGGACTCTTTCCATCGTCCTCCCCACGAGGTGGGGATTTGCATTGTTTCTTCATGTTGGTGTGTAGATATGGTGACTAGATTTCTTTGTATGACTAAACTACCTGGCCTAAAATTAGACCACGCCCACTTCTACAGAAGCCGTGCCCACTTCTAAAGAGGCCACGCCCCCACGGGGACCTGGTGTGTGTGAGGGGGGTAAAGACTGGGTGGTGAAGAAGACCAGCACAGCTTGGGAGATGAAGAGGAAGAGGCGGAGGCAGAGGCTCAGGGCTGCTTTTGTCCCAAGGTCTGAGAGGACGACTAGGGTGCTTGCATGGAGAAAGCCAAGTCCCGGGTTTGAATACTGGCAGACAAACTGACCTGGGTGGTGAAGAAGACCAGCACAGCTTTGGGGACGAAGAGGAAGAGGACTAATTAATAGATCCAGGTAACAAAGTTCCAGGTAAGGAAACACACATAATTAGAAATTTCCTGGTGTCTTTACCAAAACTCTCTCTGCCCAAGAACAATTATCATTCTAAGTTCTAACATTATAGATTAATTGTATTTATTTTGAATTTTATACAAATTACGTATGTGATCATATGTACAATTATGGCTGCAGCCCCAAAACAAAACAAATAGAAAGTCAGACATAAAAGAGTATTTTTCATGCATGGCAAATGCCCTCCCCTCTACAGTCCCTTAGACCACTGTCTTTAGAAATGGCTTTGATTCTAAACGGGGATAGATGATAACCTTTCAGTATCTATATTGCAAACTGTAATGCCCAAAAGAAAGGAGGAAGGAGGGAGGGAGAAAGTGAGAGAGGAAGAGAGAGAGAGAGGGAGAGAGGGAAAGGAAGAGAGAGAGGGAGAGAGGGAAAGAGAGAGGAAGAGAGAGGAAGAGAGGGAGAGAGGGGGTTGAGGGGAGAGAGAGAGAGAGAGAGAGAGAGAGAGAGAGAGAGAGAGAGAGAGAGAGCCACTGCCACAGAGGCACAGGGTGGGGGGTAGGAGGTGATAGGAGGGAAACTGGGAACTGGGGACAGAGGTGCTGGGAAATGTACATTGGTGGAGGGATGGTGTTGGAAAACTGACTGAAATCTAATCATGAACAGATTTATAAGGCTCTATCTCACAATGATCCAATTAGAAAATCTATTACAATAAAAAATATTAAAAAGAAAAGAAATGACTTTGATTTCTTTGATTTCACCCAGTAATAGGTGAACACAAGCAGGGCAAGATGAGATACAGAATTAATTTTGTTATTATCTCTTGCCTGGGTGGAGTGCTATTATATGCAAATAAGCATAAAATATTTTGCTAATAAGTATAATTTTTAAAAAAAATCTTATTGAAGAAATGGGGTGATAGAAAACAGCAATAGCAGAAAATGTGGATGTGGTGGTTTTGGGCTCAAGATTTTCTGTTGACATTGGGAATGTGAAACAAGAGAAATTCTCAAGATAGTTCAGTGGTAATCAATATATTGCCAGAAGAGACACTCCAAAGTAGACCTGCTTTTGCCCTGCAAAATAATTGTTGTACTCCATCAGTGGTTCTCAAACACAACTCAGTATTGGGCTTATATCTGCGCACATTGTTGGCATCTAGGGATTCTACTGATAGGCACCCTAAGTGCATGGTGTCTTTCTGTTCCGCAGCAAAGAATAAGCTGTGTCACAGTGCCCGGTTTGAGCAAGCTTATATTGAAAGACTAGCTATATAGTGCCAGGTTTGAGAAAGCTTATGTTGACAAAGCCAAAAGACTAGTTATATCCTCTAAATCATTAAACAAATAAACCGAAATCATTAAAGAAAGAAAACTAAAACAAATGCATGAAGAGTAAATTAAATATTAAACCTATGGGGGCCAAGAGATAGCTCAAAGAACTGGAGCACATTCTTTCCATTGTAGAGGCCCGGGTTTGATTTCTGGCATTGCATGGTCCTTTGAGCACTGCTGGGGCATTCGTCTCTGAGCACCGAGCTGGGAATGGTCAGTGAGTACCACAGATGTGACTACCTCTTTCTCATCTCCCAAGAAAAGTTATCAAATGTCTTTTAAGAAGTAACAGCATAGATTGGTACACTCACCTATGATTTATCTACATCTGGAAACTCTATGAGAACCAGTTTTTATGTAGCTTATTCACTTTCTTCTCAAAATTGCAGTGGTACGTCCCTCAACTACAAATCCACTCAGAAGTAACAAAAAAGCAATAATATCTAACGTTGATGTCTGCAACATTTCATTTGCAGTCATTACAAATTGAACAACACTTCGTTATGATTTCTGCCATTATTTTTATTTTACTATTGACAGTGTCAAGGGTATAGAGTAGACTTGGCTGCACAAGTGGCATTAGATATTTTTGTGTTGCGCTTTGCAATTAGATTATAAGGCATTTTTCCCCTTCGACTGTCATATTTTTTGCAGTTTTAATTTAGGGCAGAGGTAAATTTTATTATTTCTCTGATAGAAGTGATTATCTAAATTTGCCTCATTCCTCCAGGCAGCACATTCTACCACTTATCCTTCTGATTCGTTTCCTCCAGAAAGCTGAGGAGGAGTTTTATAATGATGCTATTGGTTTTGTGACTAGTATTTCCATTGTAATGCTATTACTGAACCAATGTTGTGATAAATGGTCTGTTTATAAGAGGAATCACTTTTACAAGAAGTAGAAAATCAGACGCGCTTCTGCTTTGCAATAACAGTGGGAAAATATTCCCGTTCATTACCCTCTGCGTCAGCAGAAAACCCATTTGGAGGAGGACTTCTCCCCAGGTCTCCTACACACGTCTGTGGCCCAGCAAGAAGCACCAGGCCTGACTGCAGCTTCCCTCCAAACCGCGCTAGCGGCGAGAGGAAGAAAGTCCCGACTCGGCCGTCGCGCGGGCCCTTTAAAAACGCCGGGCTCCGCCGGCCCCGCCCCTCGGCCGCCCGAGGCTCCGGCTCCGGGTCCGCCTTTTCCCCGCGCGGCGGTCGCGGGGTGGCGGGGCCGCGGCCGCCGCTCGCCCCCGCGCCCCCCGCGTCCCCCGCGTCCCGTGCCCCTCGCCCCTCGCCCCCGCGAGCGCTGCGAGCGCACGCCCCGGGTTCCAGGGCACGGGAGCGTGGGAGCGCGTGGAGCTGGGGAGCCGGCCCCGCCCGCTCCCGAGCCTCCCGCGCGCCCGCTCGCCGGCGCGGGTTCCAGAGCCCGGCCGGGCACCTGGAGGAGGAGTCCGGAGGGAAACGGCTTCCGCGGGACGCGGTCTCCACGGAGAGGCCGCGCGGGGCCGTTCTGGCAGCTCTCGTGACGTGGCCGCGCGGTGCCCGAAGGACGCGCAGGCACGGCGCCCGACTTCGGGGTCGCCAAAGCACCAGCAAGAACGGGGAGAAATCGGGAGTTCGGTTGCACTTGGCGCTTCCCAGCCGCCTGCTGGAGGCAGCCATCTTGCTGAAAGATGATGTCATTGGAACACTTGGCGTTTTCCACCAGCCCCTGGTAACAGTTTGATCGTTAGATCAGATTCGGGTTTAAAGAGAGGAGTGGAATAAAGCCCCACGACGAGCGCCTCTTCTTCCTTTCTCAAATCGTAGGCACCTTTCCAAAAGTTCAAAGCAGTAGGGAAAAAAGCCCGACACTTTGGAGCTCTCTTTTCTGTGTCCAGGTGTGTGTTCTTCCATTGAATAAGCTTGGATTAAAAAAAAAACGGGTCTGGTCAGTTTCACTTTCCAATTTTTAGACTTCGTGAAAGCTGTTTTGTGTCAGCTGTGTTTAGCATCACGTCACCTGCTGGGCCAGTTTCCTGTAAGCCTTTCTTAGGGGGTGAGGGGAATAAAAGTTTTTATTTTGGGTTTCTTATGCTGTAAAAGGAGAACGCTTTTATTTTTGGCCTACTAAATTTCCTAGGCGTGGGAAGGGGACAGCGAAGAGCGACGACTTGGTATTCCCAAATAATCGTCGCTGCCGGCGGAACCTGAACACTGTCCTGCGGTTCCCTTGGGGAGGTGGGCACTCCCAGAGATGGGTTTCGGTCTACTGCAAGCGCGGGTCTTCCGTTCCTGGACTAGACACACGGCGCGGCATGGCTTGGCCCGGCGCCCTCGCCAGGCCGAGCGGAGAAAGGCTGCACCGTGCCGGAGGGAGCCCCGAGCGCGGCGCCCGGGTTGGGGAGCGGCAGGAGGGGGCGGGCGGCGGGGCAGCCTGGGGCGCCGACCTGTGGCCGCCGCTGCCGTTCGCCGCCCCCTCCCGCTGCGGGCACGGGAACTTTCTGTTCTCGGAGCGCAAAAGATAAAGCCGGACCACCGGCCGAGGGCTGCGCGGACGTCGCAGACAGGCGAGGGAGACGCGAGCACGCCCAGTGGGCGGGAGCCGCGGGACGGCGGGGCCTGGCGGCGCGAGCCCCGCGGCCTCCCCACGTGTCCGCGGCAGCGGCGGGGCGGGCGGGGGTCGCGGCGTCTCCTTCTCCAGGGCCCGGAAGAGGCTGGGCGGCCCGGGGCGGACCGCGGGCGGCGGGCCGAGGCGGGCGGCGGCGGCTCCGGGGGCTCCGGCGGGCGTGGCAGGGCGGCCCGCGCGCGCGCGCGCCAGGCCCGGCGGGAGCGGCCCCAAGCGGGCCCCGCGCGGTCCAGCCCGAGCCCGGCGCGGCGCTGCCCGGGCCCAGTGCAGTACTGCCCGAGCCCGGGCGGGGTCTCTGTTCCCGGCAGGGGAGGGCCCTCGGCAGCGGGAAGCTCCTCTCTTTCTCTCGTCGCCGCGCCGCGTCTGCGCCCTGCGCCGCCCGGCGCCCAGCCCGGCGCTCCGAGCCCGCCCGCCCGCCCGCTCGCAGCCGGCCCGCTCGCAGCCGGCCCTTGCGCTCGCCCTCGCCGCCGCCTCGCGTCCTCCTCCTCCTCCGCGCCCCGCAGCCCGCCGCGGCCATGGCGGACAGCGCCAGCGAGAGCGACACGGACGGCGCGGGGGGTCACAGCAGCTCGGCCGCCATGCAGTCGTCCTGCGCGGCGACCTCGGGCGGCAGCGGCGGCGGCGGGGGCAAGTCGGGGGGTATTGTCATCTCGCCGTTCCGCCTGGAGGAGCTCACCAACCGCCTGGCCTCGCTGCAGCAGGAGAACAAGGTGCTCAAGATCGAGCTGGAGACCTACAAGCTCAAGTGCAAGGCGCTGCAGGAGGAGAACCGCGACCTGCGCAAAGCCAGCGTGACCATCGTGAGTGCTGGGGGCGCGCCGCGGCGCCCACCCCCGCCCGGCTGCCGGGGCCCGCGGGCAGCACGGCCCCCGCGAGTGGCGCCCCGCGAGAGGGAGGCGCCCGTTCGGGGCCGCGCGGGACTGCCCTCCCGGGTCCGGGCCCGTGCTCGGTGCCGGGAGGGCTGCCGGGACGGCCCCGCGCCGCCCCGTTCGACTCTGGGCGGGAGGCCCCTCCCGGCAGAGCTGCACCCGGCGGCGTGACTGGGCTGGGACTTTCCGCGGCCCTGGCGTGCCCGAGGGGTGCGTTCGGCACCGGGGGAGCCCGAGGCCGAGGGCGGGGAGGGGTCCGGGGCCGCCCCCCTCGCTTGGCATCGGGACCTGCGCGCCCGCGCGCTCCCCGGGGAGGAGACGGGCGCCAGTGGCCAGGAATCTGGAAGCGGAGTTTTCTGCCCGGGATCGCCAGGGAAGGGCGGGGACCGCGGCCGAGGCGCCCACTTCGACTCCAAGCCCTGTCCGGGCGGGGTTGGGGGCTGCGGTAGGCTGCCTGGAGGACGCAGCCTCTTTCAGTGGCCTGGGGCAGAGGAAAGGCTTCGGAGCGTCCTCAGGCTGAAGTCGGGCTGGGGAGCGACCCTCCGCCCGCTCGGGTGTACTAAGCGCGTTTGCTCCGTTCGCGGAGTACTTAAGGGGTATTGTGCCTGAGTTCGGAGGCTCGCGGTGCTGTTTACGGAGGGGCTGGGATTGGGCCGGGGGAGGCGGGCGCTTCTGTCCCCCGCTTCCAGGTTCGGAAGCTTCCCCGGAGGAGGTTGCGATCAGGTGTGTAAGTCTCCCGGCGAGCAAGCAGGCGACTCGAAAGGCCACTCACTAGAGCTGTGACGAGGTGAGACCGAGCTGGGTCTCACCTGCAGCCCTGCCAGATGCCAGCTTGCCACATCATTAACATGCAGAATCCCTGTACAGACAACCCTGTTCAGATGAAAACAGTTGCCAGTCGGGAAGAGAGAAGAAAATGTCACGGAATCAAAGGGATGAATTGCCGTCGCTGCTGCGTAATAGCTCATTGCCCTGTGCATTCAATTCAGATGGATGGGGAGAAAAACGCGTGCATTTGGGGATGGATCAAAGATCACACTCTGAAAATGAAAAGGGTCAACTCTAAGGTGCTCCTGTGTCTGGGAGTGTGCTCTGCCAGTAGCTCATACATGGGAACTGGATTAAAAAAAAAAAAACCAATTGGAAAGCAGGTTTCCTTCCACCAAAGTTTCAGTGTGATTAGCAGCCTAAATGGAAATTGATTGTGCTCAAGTCCCGGTGAATGGAATTTGAGCAATATCTATGCCTCCCCTGAAGGTAACGTTCTTCAAGTGCCCCTTTGCTAGGAAGGGGGAGAGGAATTTGCAGAGGCAGCCACTTCCATAAGGGCTGGAGCGATAGCACAGCGGTAGGGCCTTTGCCTTGCACTCAGCTAACATGGCCGACCCGAGTTCGATTCTTCCGCCCCTCTCGGGCCCCTCTCGGAGAGCCCGGCAAGCTACTGAGAGGATCTCGCAGGGGTGGCACGCTCCCCATAACGTATTCGATATGCCAAACACAGTAACAACAAAGTCTCCAATGGAGACGTCACTGGGCCCTCTCGAGCAAATTGGTGAACAACGGGCGGACAGTGACAGTGACAGCCACTTCCACACCTCCTCAGTAGCTTTCTTGGCCCAGAGAGATGTCTCTGTTGGGTTGGGGGTTTGAGAACAGGGAAAAGTTGGTAGAAGCAGTTTACTTAAGGTTCAAGTTAGCAAATGAGAAGGTTAGTCTTCTCAAAAATGTGAGAGGTGGAATTTACATGAAACAGTCCCTTTAGCTTCTTGCATACAGGGAGCAATTCAGGCTGTTTTTGTTGGTTTGGGAGGGAGGAGTGAGGTAGAGATAATATGAAAGGGTTATCTGTTTCACACATTGACCATGTTACAAGTAGGTCTGTAAATTGCACACAAGCACAGTTGGCTTTGCAGGGACAGCGTTCATTCCTGGAGTATGAGGTCAGAGACCTCCTGAACATTCAGCTTGGGGAGTGTGCGGTGGGTAGCTTTCTGCACTTCCCTTCCAGGAAAACTGATCTCCCACCAAATATGCCTTGTGAAATGTTTTCTGATCTTACAGAATAAAGTTCTGAAATGACTGTAGATGACAGTCTGTCAAAAGCCTCTCAGTTCTTCCTTAATCTCTGTATTAATATAGTTAGGGAGAAAAAGTGCTTGTGGTTTATCCCTGCCTCCCTAGTACTGACCGGTGTTGTGAGAGAGGTGTCAGGTGCTCAGAGTTCCAGTTTTTTTTTTTTTTTTTGCTTTTTTGGGTTACACCCAGCGATGCACAGGAGTCACTCCTGGTTCATGCACTCAGAAATCTCTCCTGGCAGTGCTCGGGGGACCCTATGGGATGCTAGGAATTGAACCTGGGTCTGCTGCGTGCAAGGCAAACGCCCTACCTGCTGTGCTATTGCTCCAGCCCCCAGAGTTCCAGTTTTGAAAGTTTTTTGGATAACTGACCTAAACACGGATTGTGTTGGCAATTCTGACCTCTCAGGTTTGTAATTAGGGAGGAGTGTGTGTGACTCCGTAAAGTGGATCTGTGGAGGCAAAAAGTTCAGTGATCAGTGTCGTCATAGTTTGCTTCAAGGTTAAGCTGCGCCACCTGTAACAATTCACAGGCAGTTAGCCTTTGTTAGTAGCTGTCTAGGAGGTCTGTGAAAGTCTTAATAATATTAGTGAGAACTTTGCTAGATTTATCACTTCTAAGCTTTAAATTAAACATTTTTTTTTGATGGGGGCACACCCACTAGTGCTCAGGGCTTGCTTCTGGCGCTGCGCTCAGGGATCTCTTCTGGTGGTGCTTGGAGGGTTCTATGGGATACAGGGATCAAACCTGGCTCAGCCTCGAAGGCACTGTGCTATCTCACTGACCCCTCACTATTTCAGTTTGAAGAGAGAATGGTACCGTAGTTTTGTTGTCTGCCTTCCTGTTATTAATACCATTTATTATAATAATAGCTTTCATGTTCTTGGACACAAAAGGTAATTATGGATATTTTGCCTTTTCCCTGAACACGTGTAAGAAGGTACATTGTTAGTCATATCCTGGAAAAGAGGTACCCCCTCTTCTGATTTTTAAACAGACTTAATTTTTTTTTTCTGAGCAGTTTTGGGTGAAAAACAAAATTGATCATAAGGTGCAGAAATTGCCCATCTACTTCCTGCCCTTTCTCCTTTTTCCTATCAGTGTCTTTCACTGGAGGTACATTGAGAGCTGTCATCTCTGAACCAACTGATACTTCTTGATCATCCAAGGTTCATAGTTTATATTAATGTTCTGTCTTCGTGTTGTATATTTTATGGGTTTTGATAGAAATTTGATAACAAACACGTACCAATTGGTATGAGAGAATAAATCCAGAGCTCTGAAAGCCCTCTGTGCCTTGTTTTTTAATCCCTTCTAGCTTCTTTACCATTGTTCTTTTATTGTTCTTTTTTACTCTCCCCATGGTTTTCTTTTTCAGAACATACTATAGTTGGATTCATTAAGTATTGCAGTCTTTTCAGATGGACTTAGTTCTCAGTAATAAGCATTTAAGTGGCCTCCGTGTCTTTTTTTTTATGGCTTGATAGCTCATCATGTCTTTTTAATGTTGAACAATATTCTGTTGTTTGAATGAACCACGGTGAATTACTTTAGTTACAGAAGGTCTTGGTTGCTTTCCAGTTTTTGCAGTTATGAATAAAGCTATAATAAACATTTGTGTGCAGGTTTTTTTTTTTGGTGTGTGTATGGACAGATGACTTCAACACATTTGGGTTACTACCAAAGAGTGTGCTAGATTATATGGTAAGAGTATTTTGAGTTTTGCCAAGAACTTCTAAGCTGTCTTCCAAATTGGCTGCGCCATAATTTTGCATTCTCACCAGCAATGGGTAAATGGTTCTATTTGCTTCATATCCAGAAGTTGATGATTGTTGTCACCGTCTTAGATTTTGACCATTCTAATAGCCACTGTTATTTATTTATTTTTTAAAAATTCCTTCTTTCTTTTAAAGTCAAAAGTGAAAGATTGGTTTGGGACTTCTGTTGGCATTAGTTGTTCTTTTGGGGTATGTGAATGCCCCTGGATCAAACTAAGATAATTGGAAACATTATCTTCACATATTGGAAACATTATCTTTTATAACCCAGCTACATCCCCACCCCTACATTTGTATCTCTTTTGGATATTCATTCCATTGCTTTTTCTTACCAGGCTACCCGCTTACTAAGGGACGAGGTTTTTTTTTTTTTTTTTAATTTTTTTTTTTTTACTAAGGGACAAGTTTGATGGTTTATGTTATCAGTATCTGTATGATAGAGCTAAACATCATCTGTGAGGAAGAACCAATTGTACGAGGCCTTTCAACCGTGTTCACAGCTGTCTGGTCCTCAGTGAGTTATTGCTTGATCCTAGAGATGCAATGGAATCTTCAGTGATCATTTGTTATCTCCATAGATCATAATTTTTTTTCACCAGGGTGGAGGGAATAAATGAAAACTAAATGCTCAGTCATTTTTTTTGAGTAGCTTTAGAGCACATTGTTAGATTGAGCCTAACATCTGCCTGACTTGTACTGTGGGTGAAGCTCTGATTGGAGAGCACTGGTTTCAGAGAGGTGGAAGTTGTCAAAGGTGGTGGTCTCTGAGGAGATGAGTGCCACCATTGGTTGGTAGTATGTCAGTAGCATAGAAGTTCTCAACTCTTGCATGTTGGTTGCATGGAGTTCCTTTTTGGGGGCGTGGGGGACACAACCAGCTCCGCTCAGGGCTTACTTCTGGGTCTGCACTCAGGAATCACTCTTGGTAGTGCTCAGGGGATCATGGGGTACCAGGAATTGGATCAGGGATGGCAGTGCACAAGGCAAACGCTGTACTTGCTGTACTGTCACTTCTGCCCCATGCCTTTCAAAGTTCTGAGCTAATTAGAATCTGAGCTTAAAGCGACTCAGACCAGG